CGAAAACTCCAAAACATTCAGGAAAAGATGAGGTTCTTTAATGGGGTGCAACAAACTGTATGTTTCAATCGATTGTTTAAACAACCTCCTTTCCCCGCAAAATCAATGTAGGTAATATTCACCTACATGTATCCTCCAAATGGCAATGTTTGCATATATTGCCTACCTGGGCTCTCCTCAGATCACCGGACAAAAGCCTGAATTTAGCGGGATAAATGGACACCGCGCCGCTAAACCTAGTTATTTTTCGTTATTTTCTTTTAAAAAGAAAGCTGAGGAACCGGGAACCGCCTGGGAACCGTCAAACCCCTCCTCTCCGCCTCCCAGAGCTTCAGCGCCAGCTGCGTCTGCGGATGCAGATCGAGTTTTTTCGGCAGAGGCACCCGCGCCAGCGCCTGCTCCCGCAACACCACCTCGACTGTCTGAACTGTTGGACGCACCCCGCCCCCTTTTTGGTTAAAGGGAAACAAACACCTTCTCGTCCTTTTTGGCAAAGGGAAATCAAAAGGAAAGCCTTGCAAAGGGGACCAAAACCATGGACCTTGAGACGTCCCCACCTGGCCCCGTTTGAGGCTCTGCCCCGCCAGCAGCGCCCGGCCCCTGCCCGGCAGCGGCGCCACTGCCGCGCCCCGCGGCTCCGCCGCCGGCCCCGCCGGCGCCGCCTTCGTCGCAGCCAAAACTGCCGCCACCGCGGGGCGCAAAGCCTCGCGGTTGACGCCTGACACCTTTTCGCCCCAGAAACCAGGTGCTTCAAACATGAAAGAAATGCTTACCTCACGTTTCCTGGAAACCAAGAGGTGTCCTTTTCAACCATAGGTTCGAGCGTGCAAGAAATGCTATACCCTGCCTCCACCCGTGCGCGCCAGGGCCCCAACGCCTCGGTGTCCAAGCTCTCAAGCACCAAGCCCTCGGACAAGAGCTGCCGCGCCAGCGCCACGTCCATGGCGCAAGTCCCCCAAGTGCCAAGCCCAAGAGAAGTGGCTCCTTCGGGTTCGAGGCCCAAAGAGTGGCCTGGGTTTCATCCAATCATGAACCTCCTGAAGGATTAAATGATGGCTATGTTGACACATATTTGTCATGGTTTTTAGCTGGCTTGAATTGCAGGGGTGAGCTGTTCGGAAGAAGGAAACCCTTTTTGGGAGACAGGCAACCTGTAACGGTTTAAGAAAACAAACCAGACAAAAAGGGATTTTGAAGGGTGCCACTGAACAATGTCTTGGCCAGACCCCCTCCTTCCCCACCAGCCACGTTCTTGTAACTGGCTCGCAGTGCGCATGCTTTAGAGGTTGAGGAATAGGATTGTGTGCATCTGCTAACCTGCTATCCGGTCACAGCCGCACGATCGTGTCACATGTTGCCTCATGGCGCGTCGCTCGCAAACCCGCTGATGGTTCTGTGGAAGCGGCAGAAAAGCTGCCGCTACGCACAAAACTCTGACAGCATCCGGTCGGAACAGCTTCAAGCGTGTGTGCTGCAGTTTTCCATGCTGCTGGGACCTGCCCAGCAACTCGATCCTCTGCTCACCTCTGCTTGCAAACACTCACCGCCGCTTACATTGTCACGTCTGTTTTCATGGCCGCGATTTCCGTCAGAGGAAGTGGCATGACCACCTGTCCAGTGAAACTTGGCTATCCACTAACACGGGCATCCAAGCCACTTAGGAAATTCGCGACTTCGGAGATTTTCCAAAGTCTGCCCGCCACATCCTGCCACTCCGAAAACCTCAAAAACCACCTGCTGCAACCCGTCCCTGAATTTCAACTGTGGCTTGGGAGTGTCATCCAGATTGGGTCAAACCACAATGCGGGTTTGAACCCTGCTGTCACTCGACTACTTTTATGCATCCTAGGTCTTTGAAGTAGCGGGGAGTACGTATGTACAATGCCTATCAATGCCTCAGATGGCCTTTCTCGACGCGGTCGCCTCACGCGGCACCCATCTGTAACCTCAGGGACACGCGCGAGAAGTGGCTCTGTCGCAAGCCATGGGGAATTTCTGTCCGGTTTCAAACCTCAGACTTGCTTCTTTGCTGGTTTGGCCCAAAGTAGCCATCCCCGCTCATTTACTCATACTTCAAGACCGCCGATTGGACTTTCAGAGGTAAACCAACCAACATGAGTGAGTGAGAATGTGCCAGGCAAACCGACTTCCTCAAAGCTGGTCGCTTGCACACCCCATGTCCCCTTTGCTGAATACTGTCGCATCCTGGCATGCACTGAGCGCAGCCGATCATTTTCTCGCGCCAAACAAGACGCATCTGTCGACACGAAACGAACTGAATTAGTACTCACAAGGCCTGAGAAGACGGCAGGAATTATATATGAGCTCATGACCATGGCCGGGACAACCACCGGTTGAACCAACAAGCAGCACCTTTTATGTCAACATGTCATCATGTTGTTTCTTTCACAAGGGCCATAGTCCAACTGCTCGTGACCCTCTGCCTGTCGTTTAAACTAGTCGCATGCGATGAATTTGATGAATTTGGTCAAGCCTTGCGGACACAGCCGCAAGTTTGGCTCTGTGTCACAAGGTTGGAACGCTAAAAAAACTGGTGCAATGAAAGCATCAGGTCTTGACTTCCCTAGATTCTCTTGAAAAGAGTGAGCCCCATGGACATGTCGAAGCCAAAAGACACCAATCATTTGCTCACTTGCTGAGTGGCTTGGCCAAAACAGGTCCCAACTTGTTGCTTCTCACTGAACTGGTCTTCCCAACAAGTTTGACGTCCACCGACTTGAATATACGGGTGTCGTTTCTAGGGGGCCCGACCCCCAAAAGTGGGTTTCCTTTTGGTGTCCATTTCAAAACCACATCGTCAATGGGGTTCCCTCAAAAAAGACACACCCAAGCGAGCCTGCGGCCCATTTTTTGGACCGCTCTCTCCCATCACCACCATACACTTCTGACCTGCACGGGGCCACATCCTGCCGCCGACTCGAGAGGGAAGGAGCAACCCTGACTGCCCTACCTAAGTTGTTTTGCTCCCAACCAAAAACCTATGAGTGTGTCTTCTTTCAGGGTACCCCAACAAATTTCTGGTTTTCTTTTTGGCTTCGATCCCTTTGAAACTAACCAACAAACGGTACCAGGAACAAGCACACGTTCTTTGCAAATGATAATAGTTCAACCGCAAAGGGATCCGGATCCAAGAAAGCGATCACACACATGTGCCAAGCACAAGGGAAGCCCTATGGGCTATTGTGGTTGTTTTTTTCTAAATATATCCAGAAGATACAAAAGATCAAAAGAGCGGCTGCTTCTACAGTACTCCTGGCTGGTGCCTCTCGACGGTCAATTACCCAGGTTCGATTGTCGCCTTGGGAATCGGTTGAAGCAGCAGGTACACCAAAAGTTGGGGTGCGGAATCACACACGGCAGGAGACTTGTCGCACCAATTTGGGGTTGGGTTGGGAATGCGTTTTTGCGCTGTTTGGTCAAAGGCAGGCAATCTCACGTTGGGCAAGGTGGGGCCCTTGCTGTGATACCAGTTGGGTGTTGATTCCCACTATGACAACTGAATGTCGCTGCAGGGTTCCCTTGGTATGGACAATTCCTCGACCTGTGTCAGTCTTCAGGTTTCGGATTGAAGAAAGGCGCAACCATCTGGACAACGAGGCATTCGTTCAACTACATTCTGCGAGCAATGCCATGACTCTTAGCGGCGATTTTGCAGCTCCACGGAAATAAACAGGCACCACTGCCAAACATATCACATTTCCTCTTCATGAATAAACATCCCAAAAATCAGCAAACTCAAATTTCCAAACCAGACTTGCCCATCGAGAAAACACACGGAACAGCGGGAGAACGGCTGCTCCAACTTAGCCCTCCCCCGCTGTACACCAAATATTTAGATTGGCCGATCTTCAAATCTAAGAAGCAGCAAAACGGATATCGGAGAGGACCCCAATCAACCCATAACAACCTGCTTGGATATCATTCCCCTGCGCTTTCTTTTATAGATTTGTCTTGTTTGAACGGTAATTATTCTTTGTTGTAGCTTTTGAAGGACTGCCAAAAGGAAACAAAACCATACGCTTTCAGCCTTTTTACATGGAGCTTGACGTTTCAGGGGATGGTTTGCACCATCTTCCTTCTACAGGGACCGGGTCCCGAACGTCAGGTTCCGTGTGAGAAGGGAACCGGAGTCGGCGCCGAGTCCTTCCGCATGGCAGTTCTGCAGCGCCTCACGGAGCTGATGCAGCTCCTGTGGATAAAACGTCCTTTCTACACCCTGGGGTTCCTTGCCCCCGTTAAACTTGCTTTTGCTCAGTAGGGAATGACGGAATGAACCCCATAAACCATCCCTTGTGGTTTCCTTTGAGGGGACCCCTGCGTTCATTCCCACATTCCCTACTGAGCACCAGCAAGTAAAAGACTGGTTGACATAATTTGGACGAAGATCCTGAACTAAATCCTGGTGGGTTTCTGAACCCCTATTATTTTAATGGTGGCTTGGACTCCAGGGTATAGAAACACATCTGTATATAGTGTATGTATATATATATATATATATATGGTACCCCTCTTTGGACTCTGGGTTGGCGCGCTTGACCTGTATTTGTCCAGTGCTGTATGCCGTTGTTTACTTCTTGGATTTTGTGTCAAATTGAGTGCCACATGTATATATGATATGCATGCATGCATACATGTTGGAAAAACGCAATGACATCAGCATCTGCAATCTGAAAGAGTTTGAATGCATCCAAGAAGAGTATTGGAACAACTCATATTTTTTTAAATGGATTCACGGTTCAGGAATCTGAGAAACTGCTATTTCTTGGAGTCTTGAATCTTGAATCCCAGATTTTTTGAGTTTTTAAAGATTTTTCAGATTTGAAAAAATTTCCTGGGATCTTGAATCCCAGATTCTTTTGAAAACAGAATGAAAATTCCAGGGTTGTCCCAATACTCTCAGTGTTCGCAAAGATTCTCAGAAAAGCTCTGTGAAAAAACAACCTCGGATCTTCCATCCAGTGGTACAGTACGTTGGAGGTTTGAGAACAACTTGAACATTTGTAGCTTGACCAGGATGGATGATTCTCAAAAAAGTTGTTATTCTTGCAATCCTCAATATTGAATCCTCAATCCAGCGGTAAAGCACTTTCAAGTGTTGGGTTTGGCCAGGGTTGACAATTCTCAGGAACGTTTTCTGTGTAATCTTCAATCTTGAATCTTGCATCCAGTGGTAAAATACTTTCAAGTGCTTTGCAATCCAGTGGAACCACTTTCAACTTGTTAGTTAGACAACCTTTCAAGCGCTTTTGGTGAGCGGTTTGCTTCATGTCAGCTTTGCTCATGTTGACCCTTTTCAAAAGCACTGGCTTTTAAGTGTTTTACGAGAGGCGCAAGGTGGTTAGGGCCGTTAGGGGTGCTATATATGCGTTGTTATATTTTTCTTTATATATGTATGTGTGTGCACGTTGTTCTGCTTGCTTTGGTCCCGAGAATGGGTCTTCGCGCGCCCTTTCGCGCGCCCTTTCGCGAAGTTACGCGGCCTGAGGAGTAGAAAGATTTAGGTCTGCAATGACTTCAGCCAACATGTCAACAGTTACATGCGCGCAGCATGGCTCTGCTCGCAGCAGCTTGCTTGGACCCCCAGTGCGTTTCTAGTCAATGTCAATGTCACATTGCTTTCCACAATGCGTTCCAAACGCTCCTTGCACCAAAGGCTGGCACAGTTGGTTAGCGCAGTGAGCCATGCCAATTAGCAGCTTGCAGAAGCCTCCTCTGGCCAGGTCAGATGCCATTCTGTGAGACGCGTGTGGCGTGGCCCTCTGCACCGCGGCGCGTGCGCTTCCCGGGCGGGACGGGTGGGGCATCAAAAACAGCTCCTGCAAAGGCGTCATGAAAATGCTGTCATGCATCAAACTGCAGGCAGATATTGCAGAACTGTGGCCATTCATGACCCCTTCCCTGCTCTTACATGACAGCAGCCAGTTTTTCCAGGGGCTGCCACAGGTGGTTAGCGCAGTGGGCCATGCCAATTAGCAGCTCACAGAAGACTGGCAAGAGGAGGCTTCCGACCAAAGTTTCTTAATGCCACTCCATAAAGTCAGATGTTATTCTGTGAAACGCGTGTATCATGGCGCAGCGCGGTGCGTGCGTTAAGTAAGATGCGCCGCCCACAACGAAATGCACTCATTGCAGGCGGCGAAGCTAGTGTAAAAGAAGTGAGAGTAGAACGTGACCCTACCATTGACCGATTGACTTTGGCACAATTGCGCCAACAAGGCTTGGGCCTCGTCGAGATATAGTCGGCAAGCCCGTTGGTCCTGCAATCGGCCAGACACCGTGGTGGAATCAAGACTGGGTGTTCTCTGCCAATGGTAGGTCGTGCCCCCGCGACGCAGACTGTAAGGTTGAAATTGGCGAAAACGCTTGCCGGAACTTTGGGGCTGGGAATGGGCAAAGCGGAGTTGATGCCCCAAAGCTCGGCAGCAGCCGCCACAAGCGCGGCGCGAGCCACGGGCCCCAAAGCGACAAACTTTGCGTCTGGAAGTCCTGGAGTTCTGCTGTGAAATGACAACCTGCCCGGTGCGCGGGAAAGACGCAATATCACAAGGGTGCAGCAAGAAAATAAGAAATTGCAGAACAAGAAGCGCCGCGAGCGGAGGCTGATGCAAGGCCCAAGCCACTCCGGACATCGCTTGCAAGGCATGAGGCTCACTCTCTGAACTTGGTGAACACGCATCCAGATAGAATAGTACTGCGAACCCGCAATCTGGGAATGAAACGTTTCAAGCCGGAGATCAAGCAGCCGCCTTGGGAAGGGATTTTGCCTTCGTGGTAAAGTTCAATGATGAATTCGCCAAACAGTGCATCAGGTTCAGGTGTGGAAGTGGAAATGGCCAATCCTTCGCGGTTCAAAAATTGAAAGAACTGGACCACAGCCCGGCAGTAGGCTCTGATCGTCTGGGAGCCAGTTCCGATTTCCTAAGGCGATTTTTGGGGCCAGAAAATGGCTCTGAAAGTTGGGCAGGGCAGAAGCATTCCCAACATGATGTTGCTACACTCAAGTTTAACGGTTTGAGAAGTGTGTCGGCTAGTCGACTTTTGGGGCCGGAAGATAGCTTTCAAGTTTGGCGAGGTCAAAACTACTACCAATTAAAAGCACGGCGGGCTACCATGCTTCAATCTGTGGTAACCGAAACCGGTCCCCAACGTCCTCCCACCTGGGCTGCACATCGCTGCAGCTGCTGCAGGCCGCGCACGGTCACAGCTCAAAGTGGATCTGCCCCAAGCTCATGACGGCAAACAATCAAATAACGCTTCTTCTCTGCAGTGCGCCACTTGAAAGCCCCTTGAAATTTCCTTTTGGAAGACCGTCTAACAAGTGTAATTTCGGACTTTCTTATGCTACAAAAGGGCAAGAATGTAAATAGCACATCGTAGTTCGAACTTCCTTGTAGAAGCCCTAATATGAAGTATATTTGAAAATGGGTCTCTATTTAACTGTTACTATCAAAAGCAAATTGAATTGTTTTCGTATTGGACTCTATTTAACACTAAAATATTTTGTTAAAGATTAGTTGGAGTTTACCCGAAACAATCTTTACATTTTCATGTGCTCCTATTTGGAGAGGACTTGCCTATTTAAAGAGTAATCTGAATAAAACATTCTTGAAGACTATATCCTAGCTAAAGCATATTCAAAATTGCCACAAAATCAAAAATGCAAAAAGGTGGAAAACTCACCAAGCCTGGGGCCACGGGGCGGGGGGGGGGCATACACATATGTATACATATATATATATATATACATATGTATAGTAAGCCAGGGTTCAACCCCATAAAAAAGGCTTGCCCCAAATTCGCGGGATGAAGCCTCTGAACGGCAAACAATGGCGGTTGTAGTAACCCCCGCTAAACCAATGGTAGTGTTGCTTTGGCTTCGCCTCACAACCACTAAAGCAAAACGGACCCCTGAAAAAAGACACATCATTTTCCAAAATTGTGGGCCAACAATTGCAGGGGCACGCTTTAGTCACAGTCACATCAAAACGCGCAAGCTCATAAACTTGAAGTGCGTGAAACTGCACCCCTCACAGACCGTGTTCCTATGGGATTGCTATGCTCAAGCCTCACAAGCCACATGAAGATGAAGCAGGCCAGTTTACATCAACATTCGCCGGGACTGTGGGGAGAGCGACAGGCAACTAAAGGCTGAAGCGCGCGCCTATGTCTTGTGTGCTACATCCAAGGTTGCAAGTGGCGCCATAAAACCGCGACGCGAAATCTTTTCCTGCAGGCGCTCCAAAATTTCCAGGTCGGTGGGAACTGCCATTGCGACCTTGGCAAGTGCAACTTTGCCAAGAGACAGCTGTGCATCTGCATCATCGATCGTCAAAAGAATTGCCCACACAAAGGAAAACTTGATGGGGTCAGGAATAACATGGAGATAAAATGGGCAAGGTGAAACCAAATAGTGCTGCTGGGTGATACTTAGGGGTTCCGGAAGAAAAATAAAGAAAACTTCGCTCCGCAAGCTTCAGACATGCTTGCCAGCCCTGCGTGATCATCTGGGGGCGCTTAGGCTTTCTCAACGGAGCCGGCCCCCCATCCAAGCAGCATCCACAAGGCCGCTTTTCATTTGACATACCGGGCGGCCCTATTCGCACGCCACGGTATGTACTGAATGGCCGCCACTGCTGTGTTCCGTCCCCTGGCAGACAAGTGCCTACCATATGCTTGTCCTCAATATTCTCCAATGGCACCACTAATATAGGCGCACCTGATGAGCCCAAATGTCTCGGCTTAGCGTGCCAGCAACAAATAATGCTTCACTCAGAGCTTTGTCTGGCGTCAACGTATCCCAGTGATTCGAAGGAGAAGTCTGAGGATGCAGGAGAAGTTCGAGGAGCCAAATGCTCGGAAACTGCATGGCGCAAACAGAAAACCGTGAAAAACATGTACCAACATTGTCCGAAGCATACTGCAAATCACACTGTAGCACGAAGAATCGGTACGACCTCCCGGAGGACCTCCCCCCCAGCTATTCAAAGATTTCCTCAAAATTGATACGAAACTGCAGCTTAGATCTACAATATGTATGTCATATGTATATCCCAGTCGTGTGAAACCCACCGACCTTGCAAGGGCGATGTGCATGTTGGTGCTGATTTGCACTTTGTGGTTTCTGCTACTGCTATCGAACCCCACTGGCTTGGCAACATCAATGCTCACATTGGCGCTTGTTCTCACTCGTTTAGTGCCCATTGGTGGTTTGCAATCCCACCGGCATGACAACATCTATGTGCATCTCAGAGCTGGCTTTGAGCTGCTTCCTTCCCATTGCGGACTTGGAATCCACTGCGTTGGTAAGACCGATGCGACCCCCCTATTATCCGAGTCATGCACAAGGACACGCGTTTTGAAGCTTTCCAAAAATCGATGCGACCAACATGCCTCCCTGATACTCATTGCTTCACAACAACCCGAGGTGGCTCTAAGGAGATCTGGTTCATTCCCCAAGCCCCGGCAACCTGCTCAAACAATGTCTTGTATTCCGTTCAAACTGATCCTTGCGGGGTTTCTATTGATATCTGCACCGCTGACCCTCAAAGGGCCCCATATAACCCTTCTCTTGGAAGCATTTCTTTGGGGTTGCCAGGGCCCGCTGGGAAACCTCCCAACTCAGGGGGAACTTGTTTTTTTTGGGGGGGGAGGCCTTCAGAGGAAATCGCTTAAAGTGTATGTCCACCCTAACTTGTTTGCAAGGTGTTCCAAGCAGTAAAATATGGCCATGAGTTTCTCAGAATGGGCGATTTGCTATTTTTGCTTGGGGCGTCTCAAAAAATTATGCCTCAAAATAGGAAACCGGTCTTTCTATCTCCTTCAAAACCTGGTGCATGTCCTTTAGCGGTTTCAAAATTTCTGAACGTAGGGCGGGGCCTGATGTTTGCATAATATGTCTCGAAAGGGGAATCACAACTTGGTGTTTGTGCTTCGGTGTCCCTTGAACATCCCATAACCCCCTATCAAACAGCAAACAGCAGTGGAGACGGTTGCTTGGCAACCAATCTACAAGTCAATCTAATAGAAAACCTGGAAGGGCATGACCACCAGTCTGGGCGCATTGCTAGAGTCCCTGAAAAAATCAGCGCAAATGGTATCCCCAACACGGAACCCCCTCTGAAACCCTCTGAAAGCTGTTCGTAGCGTCCAGCTGCTGGAAGGAAAAAAACGTATTGCCAGGTAAGAGATGCATGGGTGACCTCATTGTAAACCCCGTGGCTATAATTTGTCCAGACCAGTGCTTCCGCCAGAAATAACCAGGGAAAGCCAAGGCCTGAAGGCGGAAAGCCAAGTGGCTGCCTCGTAGCTGGAAGCACTGGGAGAAACGAAGCCTTCGCCCACTAAAATTGTCATGTTGTAAGAGGGTCCATATATTTGGTGAACCTAAAAATGTAGAATAATGTCAAATGCATTCTCAAGCTACTACCCTTCGATTCGTGATTTGTTTGGGCTTGGGTATTTTCCCTACCTTCCAAGAGGCAACCCTGTAAATGGTGTTTAAACGGAAGCACCACCAAGACTAATTTGAGAACCCCTGAACATGTCCACTTCGATGCAGTTTTCTACCCGGTGCGACCCTTCCGTCCCCACGATGCCATGGGACCTATCAGAGGGTTCATTCTAGAGAGAATATGCAACCACAAGTCGACTTGTTGGTGACAAAGCCCCTGCAGACCCACGGCTCCTCTTGCAAGATGGCCGCCTCTACTAAGCACTCCGCCTGAAGACCAGGGCATTGGAATGGACCACAGATTTTGGCCGCAGGAGGGACAATGACGGAGAGCTCGGAAATCCTTCTTCCCGGTCAAACTTCACGAAAACACCCTGAGCCATACCTATCCTTCATATCCGCAAACCCCTGATTCATGACTTCCCTGTGAAAGGAATCTCCTTTCACCAAAATAGAACCCCTGGTTCATAAGACCCCAAGGAAACTAAGCGGCTTAGGTGACCACGATGTTGAGAATTCACCCACACACCCCAAAAAAAAAGGCAAAGCGAACCGACTTTCTACCCCTGAGGTCTGGTCAACAGTTTGCAAGCAAGGGTTCCTTTCTACTTCATCCGATCTGGTGCTATTTGTTTGGAGCTGGGACCCTTTTTGGCAGGGTCTGTTCCACCATTTTGCGAAACCCTCATTTGGGGTTGTGTTGAAGGCTACCCCTTTTCACCTTGGCTCACGGGGAACTACCAGAGAAACCGAAGCCATGAGGTGTGGTTTCCTTGCAGGGCCCGAGCCTGCGCTTGGTTTAAACCTTGCCTAGGTCGACAAAGGGAATCTGTTGAGGACAGGACTATTTTCAGTTGGTCTTGAACCCACCAAAAAAACAGCTCGAGTTAGAGCATGACATTGTCCCACCCTTCCCCTCAGGTATCAACTTGGCCCAACGAGGTAAACCACAAACAAAATGTTCAGATGGCCCAAATTGCGTCCCAGATGTTCAGATTCTGGCCCATAATTTGTCCACATTAAAACAAAAGACATATCATATTAGAAGAAACCCCGTGTTTGACCTTCGCGAGATGTCGCCGAGCCCACAAGCCTGCGCCTGCCACGAAGCCAGGTACGAGGCGCCATGCCAAATGAGTCCTGAAGTAAGTGTCACCCTCGCAACATCATTAACCCGTCCACATAACATTGGAGGGGTCTTCATCTCCATTGATCTCCATTGGAAGGTTTAGGACCTTGCAATGCGAAGTCTTTGCCCCTCGACGTCCCAAGATTCTTGGGGTTTCACTTGACCGTCACGAGTAAAGAAATTTGCCCCCTGGAAAAGGAAACAAAAGAACAATGTGTCTACTCTTGTGGTGTGGGAGCCCTTTTAGTGTTCCTGCCCATCTCTTACGGTCCATTTGTTGGGAACAAATTCAGTCTGAAGGTTCATGCGTCATTGCTGAATCCGGAGAAAACCCATGGCCATCCATGGCGCCCAAACCGGGGGAACTGGCGCGTCTGAAAATCACGAAAAGAATGGGCGATCAAATTGTCAAGAGTAAAGACCGAGTAGACTTTAAATAACAATTAAAGTGGAACCCTCGTAATCCACAACGGAACCCAATCAATTAAACATTATTCATTCACAACCACGCAAAAGAAAGCAGTTGGACCACAAAGCAACCACCCAAAAGGAACCAGTTGGACCTTCACATAGCAAAGGTTCTGACAAGTCCTGAAACGAGGGTCAGGCACAGCAGCCACCACGGCGGCGCCAAACAGCGCGCACCTCGGGCAAAAAGTGACTCTGTGTGTGTGTGTGTGTTTGTGTGTTTGCGCGTGCGCGCGAGCAACTGTGCTATGGCTGTGCACCTGTGCCGGGCTCACACGCTCATGCACTTGCTCGTGGGGGATGTCGCGCGCAATTGCTCATGCGTGGACGCATGCGTGCGTGCGTTCGTTCATGCGTAGGTGGGTGCGTGCGTTCGTGGTTGGGTGGGTAGGTGTGGTGGGTGGGTAGGTGGGTGGGCAGGTTGGTGTGCGTGTGTGGGTGTGTTTGTGTGTGTGTGTCTCTGTTTGTGCGTGTCTTTGTACGTTTGTGTTTGTGACGGCGTGTGCTTGTGTGTGTGCGTGTGTTTGTGTGTATGTGTGTGTGTGTATGTTGATGTCTTGCTGTGTTGGTGCCTGTGTGTATTTGTCCTTGTGCGGTTTTCTTTTTTGTGTGTGTGTGTGTGCGTGCGTGCGTCTGCGTGTGTCTTTGTCTGTGGCTGTGTGTGGCGTGTGTGTGTGTGTGTGTGTTTCGTGTGTGTGTGTGTCTGTCTTTTTGGTGTGTGTGTGTGTGGTGTGTAAGGTGTGTGGTGTGTGTGGTGTGTGTGCGCGGTGCGTGTGGTATGCGTGTGTGTTTGGTGTGTGTGTCTGTGGTGTGGTGTGTGGTGTGGTGTGTGGTGTGGTGTGTGGTGTGGTGTGTGGTGTGGTGTGTGGTGTGGTGTGTGGCGCGTGTTGTGTGGTGTGCGGTGTGGGGTGTGTGGGGTGTGGTGTGTGGGGTGCAGTGTGTGGGGTGCGGCGCGGGGTGCGTGGTGTGTCTTGAACGTGTGTGTGTGTGGTGAAAGTGCACACAGACACAAAGACACACAGACACACAGACACACAGACACACAGACACACAGACACGCAGACACGCAGACACGCAGACACTCAGACACACACAGACACACACACAGACACACACACAGACACACAGACACACAGACACACAGACCACACACACACACAGACCACACACACACAGACCACACAACACAGGCCGCACACACACAGACCACACACACACAAACCACACACACCATACACACACGGACCACACACACAGACCACACACACCCACCACGCACGCCCGCATGCCCGCCTGCCCGCCCGCACGCGCGCACGCACGCGCACACCCACCAAAACACACACACACACACACAGCACGCACCACACACGACACAAACCGCACCCCCACACCCCTCACACAACACACCACACCACAAACCACACGTGTGTCTGTTTGTCTGTGTGCTTGTGTGTGTGTATACTTGTGTGTGTGTGTTGTGTGTGTGCTTATATATGTGTGCGTGTGCTTGTGTGTGTGCGCTTGTGTGTGTGTGTGTGCTTGTGTGTGTGTGTGCTTGTGTGTGCTTGTGTGTCTGCTTGTGTCTGCTTGTGTCTGCTTGTGTCTGCTTGTGTCTGCTTGTGTCTGTTTGTGTCTGCTTGTGTGTGCTTGTGCGTGCGTGCGTGCGTGCGTGCGTGCGTGCGTGCGCGCGCGCCCCGCGGGCGTGCTTGCTTGCTTGCTTGCTTGCGTGCGTGCGTGCGTGGGTGGGTGGGTGGGTGAGTGGGTGGGTGGGTGGGTGGGTGTGTGTGTGTGTGCGCGTCTGCGTGTGCGTGCGCGTGCGCGTGTGCGTGTGCGTGTGCGTGTGTCGGTCTGTCTGTGTGTGTGTGTGGCTGTCTGTTTGTCTGTCTGCTCATTGGAACCCGACAGGGGGACGGAAACCTTGGTTCAGGAGCCCTGGGGCTCAAAACAAACGAATGCTTGGGTTAATATGACCACCATCTACCAAAGGAGTGTCATCAAAATTGCGTCAAGCATAATTAGGGTTGAACCCCAAGGCAAGGAATCGTAAGAGAGCCAAGTTGCAAGAAGGGGCGCTGGTGGTGTCCGTCTGGACTTCAGCCGTGCTCGTTGACGCAACCTGCAGCTTCTGGCTTCTGGGCCATGTAAAGATGGAGCTGCAGTTATCATATATGTTATCCCAGCTTGTTTTGAGTTGCCTGGTTCAATTGACACCCCAAAGAGACCGTAACACCCGGAGTCCGATTCCTGCTGGGCAGGCAATCTGACTGGGGGCGGTCAGAGTGGCCTTCCCAAGTCCATGCCAAGTGAGCAGGTCTCTGGGACCCGAAGCACCAGGTGTCTCCGAGCATGGAAGTTGGGTTCATAGGCCATTCCTTTGGGGCTGAAGAGGAATCTTCTGGGGCCCAAACCCTACCAAAACCCCAAAAAACCCAAAACAATAGATGTAATCAAACAGTGGCGAGCCATCCCCGGGCAACAAGAACCTCCCCCCAGGCATGGGAAAAATTGGGGCCTTTCCCCGTTGGGAAGTCGGGGCTGAACTCCGAAGCCATTCAAGGGCAAAGGCGTTTAGCTGTTGGGGAAGAAGAAAATACAACCAGCACCACAGTTCTGGGCTCCCCAAGCCACATCGACTTCATCAACGTTCAACCCCAAACCTACTCTCCTCCGCTAACATGAAGCCACACCAGACGGTCTCTTTTGAATGAACATAGTCCTTTAGGACCCCTCAGTCAGGTTCCCTGTTAGTGGACAAGAGCCTAGGTGTTCAAGTCATTTCTACAACCGATATGGGAGGTATCTGCGATTGAGGCTCTGTACCCTTTTTAGGGTGTTGGTATTTGGGCGAGACACCACAAAGCAAAATTCGCTTTACCTGGGTCCCCCCATTTGGGTTTCGTGTCCCCATTTAAAGACACGCCCAAACCCAAGATTTAGGCATCCCCAAAGGGGTATGCAGGTTGGGGATGGCGAGTTGAGAGCTCGTTGCGGCTTCCTGAGGGTTTCTTAGGGAGCCTCAGGGACCCATGGACCTGACGCCAAGATATCGCCTTGGCGATGGCCGGTGAGCCTTCGGACTCGCTCCTGCGAGGATCTGCAGCTTGGGACCCTTGTTGAAGCCCATTCAACGGTTCCATGTGGGTGTCAAAATATTGGGAATCAAAATGGCGGCTTTCCTTGTGGTGTCCCTTTCAACCCTGCAGATCTTCCAACTGGTGTTCCGCCCGGAAATGAATGCGTCCGTTTTCATGAAAGCAATGCCGGTTGCACAAAAGACAGATCGATTTCCTTCATACGGAAAGGGACAGGGACAGGTAACAAGTACGCGTCTTGAAATTGCTCCCGTTTGCGCGAAACTACGCCCTTGTTGCAGGCAATTGCGCCCGGTGTGCGCCTAGTTGTTTGGCCAGAATCTTCCTGCTTCGCACAGTTGTTGCACGAAGTCGCAAAATAGCACTCGTTTCGAACAAAAAGTGTGTTTCCTCACAAATGGCCGTTTTGTCCAAACGAAGTGCTCTCAAATGGTGAATCGGATGCCACTGGACAACTCTTTGTTCCTGCATGCATGGTTCCCTTTCTGGCTGACATCCCAATGACCTGCCCCGCCTTTTTTCCCTCAAAGAAGCCTCAAGACGCGGCTGTCCGTTTCTTAGAAAAGGGCCAAAGCGTCCAAGTACCTCTACGCTCCATGTTATGTTGCCATTCCTCAGAGCCACGGATTAGATTCTATGGCTGGTACCTGGACTCTTGAAGACAGCAAAATGAATCGCACGAAGGTCAAGCCGCTTGCAGCGCATGGACCAGAGATTGAAGAACCAGCATGGAAAGAGCAGCATTCGCGCCCCCGATGCTGAAGCTTCGTTGGCACCAGTAAGTCTTTTCATGGGATGGTGAACCTTCCCAATTCCAATGACAACCTGCCAGCTTGTCGCACATCGCGTTGTCTCCATGGCACTCTGGGTGGCACTGGCTAAGAAATGTCAGCGACGGGACAACCTGGGAAAAGGTATTCTCGGCCTCTGTGCAGGTTGCACACCACTTGCCCCCAGCCCCACTGCAGCCCACTTCGTCCGCGCAGCCAAAGACGTAGGAACTGGAACATTCCGCAGGGTCCACCCAAACACACGTTGCGTTGGATGCCGCCAAGTCCTTAGAAACGACCCTCGATCCTAGGCGATGGCAGAGCTCCTTGGAGGTGAGGTTTTCGCACGCTTGCCTCTCTCCTCTGCCACACTCCGCCCAGTTATCATTCAAATGGCTGCGAACCATTCTAACCTCGGCATCACATGCTGCCTTGCTCCATCGGCTGCAGGCACCTGAGAAGCCTTGGCCGCCGTTGTAGTCAGAAGCATAGTTGCATTGGCACTGGTTCTCCACCAGACCAGCTGTGCCGAAGCACTTGCAACCTGCCTGACTGAAGTCAGGCGGGTTGACCTGTGCATTCAAATCACCAGATGTCCATTGGCAAAAACCAGCAAAAGCACCATCACAGTCAAGTCGATCGAGAGATGAGCAAATGGCTGCAAAGCCGCCGGGCCGTGCGTCACACCTTGCATAGCCGGCAGCACTCTCGCTTCTCACATTGCAAAACCACAGACATGCCAGTGCCACGCAGCACACTGCCAGCCTCATGGCTTCTTCAGCCTTTGAGGTGCTTGGCTTGGGCCGCTGGACCACGAGCAATGCTATTAGCGCATCGAGCAGCGGTGAGAGTTAAGGGTTGCAGCGCAAACGAGCAACTTGCTGCCACACTCGCAACAATTTGCGGCATCACACATATTTTTGACTTTGGGGCTAAATCTTCAGATCAGCACACGCATGCACACGCATGCGGCAGAAGTCGTCGAGGAAAGCTGTGGGTCGTTGCTCTGCTCTAACGCTTCAATGATATACCCTTTTGCTCCGATGCTGTTGCTTATGACAACCCCATCCAACGGATCCATGTTGTCCTTGCGGAATTCCCGCAACCACATTCTGCCCAGGTGCCAAGCTGGCTCCTGAGAGAAAGTTATAAGACAGGCAGAAAGTAGATGTGGGGGCATTTGCCCGACGGACGGTGAAGCCCCCGAGAATCAGTCGGAGCATCTTGGAAGGGGCAACAGGGACCGCTAGCAGTCAGAAGGCCATAAATCCGCGTGCCCAGTCCTCGTCGGAGTTCGAGGCAGGGTCCACTTTGGCAAAAATGGATCTGCTGGACTCTGAAACACCTCCTCCGGCGCCTGGCTACGGGCATGAACGTGAACTGGAAATGAACCCTTTGGTGGACATCACTTTACACAGGCAGGGCTCACCCATCTGATTTTGAACAAGTCCGAAGACTCCAGCCCAACTTGGTTGCCCTCCCCCTGACCCCCTTGGCTGCTCCAAGGCCGCCCTGAACTCAAAACTCGCTCAGACCCCACTGCAGTCGCAGTTGCTGCCGCCTTGCTTTACTCTGCTTCAAATGAGTTTGTTGGACGAAGTGTGGTTTCATTTAGTTTCGCGAGAAACTGGAGGGTACCATCGATGAGTTCCACATGCATTCTGAATAAGGAGGCTAATAATAGTAGTAACTACCCAACCACCACCCACCCACCCACCCAACCAACCAACAAACCCAACCCAACCCAACCCAACCCACCCAAAAAAGAGACTTAAAGAGCAAATGCCCAGCCTTCAGGGCGCGGCAGGGCGTCGGCAGCCTGTTGAGCAACATCGCGCGCGGACAGCCGTCAGGCCGTCAGGCCGATCCTCTGCTTGGTTTGGCGCCCGTCCCTTTTGGGTTTTAAAAGGGAGACCAAACCGACTCCGAAATCCCGGGTTGGGGGGTCCCCTAACAAAGAAACACCCATGTGAGTCGCAATCAAATCCGATCGGTACTAAAATGGTCGTAATCCCAGGACCATGTGCAGGATTAAGAAGGCGGCCGCAGCTATTTACGGTTGGGATCGTCCCTTACTAACCTTCATCTGCCCGGGTTTTGATTGTGGCTCATGTGTTTAAACAGCCAGACCCGTAAACACCTTACAGGCGAACCTAAACTAAAGAAGGTGAAGGTTTAACTATAGGTGCTTCAACGAATCCCTTGTTCCTTGTAATAAACGCACCCTTTTCGATAAATACTTGCTTTTCTAGGGCTGAAACAGCCGGGCCCCCCATTCTTCTTTTAGATTTGGCAAATTCAAAACCACTACTCAACTGTCGGATGTCTCCGCCCAGACCAGACCCAGCCTTAGTAGGGGTATTGAAGCACATTACTTTATTTTTGAACTGATAAACTAATGTTTACCCTTCGCTAATTTATATATATTTGTTTCCTTAATTGTAACTGCGGCCTTTACTTTTGAACCGCAAAAAAAAACACTTGAACGGTGTTACTTAAATTGGTTACTTGTTTTTTTGTTTTTTTGTGTCCGGGAAAGGGGGAGCATTTGGAAGAGGAAATCCGGTCGACCCCAAAGTACCCTATTAATAAGTATGTTTTGTCCCCCAGACCTGATTCATTATTAGGGGGGGAGGGTCCGCGTTTATTATTAGGGGGAAGGGATCAAACGCCCTTGAGTCATCGGTCGAACCCATTTTGTCACACCCCGGGCACGTTGACGCCAAATGGCTTGCCTAAATCCGTGGCAAGCAATTGGTTGGTTTTCTTTGGATAGACGTTGAACGGCCCGGACCCTGCCTCCTCTCGGTCAGCTTTGCACACCGCCGCCTCGCGTGTGAGCGGCCGCTCGTTGGAGGGATTTGATGCTTCTTAAGAAAACCCTCATTGTTTCTCAACATAGGAGGACCCCCAAAATGGTTGGCTTCCTGTTGGGTTTCCCTGTAAATACCAACCAAAGGGATCTACTCTTCTTAGAAACACCCTGACATATATTAGGGGGCCTGTGTTTGCCCCCCCATGATACAGAGAAATACAACTCCACATATGTGTTCAACAAAAAATGGACATGATGTGATCTTACCATCCCTGCCCCCCGTGCCTCCTGAGGATCATTGCTAATTTGAGGCCAGCTCCAGCTTGGGCCAAACTGCGACATCTATGTTGGACCCCTCAAACACGAACACAGCCACAAATTGAAGACCGCGCCCTGTGCATAGTGTGCCCAAGCATCCCATGTTGCCAGATTCAGAGAAGCAAGGGCCATGGAAAGGTCATGGTCCTTGATTCATGGTTTTTGAGGATGGGATTTTCTGCGAAAAGGAACCCTTTGAAGACTAAAAGAGAGAATCTGCAGGTCACCGGTTGTAGTCTGTTGACTAAATACCTAGGGATTAAAATCAAAGCCCAGAGCGTACCTGGACCCTGGAGTAAAGCGGGGGGGGGGGGTTTGCAAAATAGGAACTTTCCGCCATGCCAAGGGTTTCCTTTTGTTTCCCCAAAAGGGGGCTTGTCCGAATCCCATTTGAAAAAGACATGCCAATATCCAACCCTTCACTTAAATGCAGGATTCCCCCCCCCAATTCCACCACTCAGTTGAAAACAAGTTACCCACCCACCCCAAAAAAAAACCGCCACCTGCAGGCACCCCCAAGAATGGCTGGCTCCCAAAACGCTCGGCGGTCGGGAAAAACCAACGCCCTCGGCTCCGGGCCGAGAGCCGCGCGCTTCGGCTCCGGCCTGGGCAGTGAACTGAACTGGGGTCACGTCGCTTGAAGATCAGCGGCTCTTCTTTGCCCCGTGTTTTTTTTTTGTTCTTCGGGTTTTAAAGGAAAGGAAGGGGAAAAAAGAAGACCATTTTGGGGGGGGGTCTGTCTTTTTGTAAGGGTGTGGTTCTAAAGGAAAACCAAAAGAAGAAGAAACAACACATGTTTGCGGTCCACTTAAAAAAAGGCACGCCCTTGGGTCTAGGGGAAATGCCAGTTGAAAGCGGCGCTTCGGTCACCAAAGACCCGCCATGCAAGCTGAGCCGTTGGTCAGCCAACCCCATCCCAATAACCAATCATGACAATCTAGCGGAAAATCACCCTTATTTCCAGGTTCTTCCCACCCAGTTGTCCCACTTACCATGGCTATAACCTTGCTTGAGCATCCAAGCAAACAGAAAATAGATGTCACATTCCAAAGTTGCAGTTCATGGCTTCTATTGAAAGTTTCTCATTTTTGAAGGTGGAAAGGGAACAGGAGGACCCCCTCTTCAATGTGTTGTGCCAAGCATGGGCCACCAACTTGGAACAGATTCCGGATCGAACCAACCGAACATCCAAGCAAATAACCTAGCGTACTTAGAACATCCACCCAATCAACCGACCAAACCAACCAACAAAACCAACCAACCAACCAACCAACCAACCAACCAACCAACCAACCAAGCAAGCAAGCAAGCAAGCAAGCAACCAACCAACCAACCAACCAAGCAGCCAAGCAAGCAACCAACCAACCAACCAAGCAGCCAAGCAACCAAGCAATCAACCCACGAACCCACCAACCAACCCTCAGACAACTGAGCCCCACACTTCGCCACCCGCGGATCCTTCGGCTCCTTCCGTGACTGGCGCGCTCGGGAGGACCAGCTCAGGAAGCAGCGCTGCCCGCAGAGTCTGGCGCCGTCCAGCGCTAGGGCCTTCTCCGCGTCCTGACCAGCGAAATCCACGGGTCAGGTGCTAAAGCAACCCACCCATGTTGATCCATTTGGGGAGTGCACTGAAGAAAGACACCCATCTGGCAAGCCAAGAAATCCCTCTTGATGGCCGGGATTTACCATGGCTTTGTGGATAAGCATGGTTGGTTTTGCAATATGGCTTACCCATCCTCCAAAAATACCCACTAAGAGGGGGACCAACTCAAGCAACATGATGGCCATGATATGTCTTTCTCTAATTCCCTCACTGATCTCAAGGTCTGCATCTTGCAGGAGTAAACTTGCAGGAGTACTTCATCCCCGTATATTCTCGAACAACTGCCACAAACTGATCCTCACTTGAAGCCAAACCCCCCGTCATCGACCTCAGCTTCTGCCTGGAAGGTGTGAAAGTTCACGTAGCCGTGGAACTGGGACTCAAAGGTCTTGGTGTCCCGCACCACTCGCACCGTGACCACGGGGATGTGCTGCGCCGTGAAGAGCTCGTAAAGCATCTCCTATACGTCCCATTCTGTGCGTGTGTGTGTGTGCTCACTTGTTTAGGCTGGTCTAAAGAGAAATCACAAGAAACAAAAACCATCCGTTTGGAAGGGTCCCCCTGATTTTGACACACACACACACACAGACACAGCCACACCTGTCTCGCAAACATCTTGTAGTGGGAATCTATGCCAACAACATTTGATTTTCCGACTTTGGGATTCTGAGTTCAGTGCTTCCCGCGAGCTTCCTTGAAAACACTGTTCGAGAAGGCCTCTAATTAGGACATGCACACAAACACATTTGAGTCCTGAAACGGGGCCCAGCCTGCACGTGATTGTGTTTGTAGGCCACTCACGCACCCTCCCACCGACCAACAATTCAAGGATAAAATCAAGGGGCTTTCTTTTTCAAGGCCCTTGGAAGACCACGGCTGAGTGTCACTGGCATGTTCAAATATGTGTCCGGGAGGTATGGGTGCTTCTGTACCACCAATGTAGGCTGGTAAGTCAGTATGTTGCCTCTCCAAAACCCACGCCTGAAAATACTCGGGGCGTAGTCCGCCCGTCCTCCGTGACGTCTGGGTGCAAGTTGCGGATCTGCAGCGCCGGCTGCGCCGCGGACCAGCTGAGGTCACCTTTGGCGCGCCCCAAAGCGTCTGCCAAGCCGCACTTGCACACGCGCCCGCACCGGCACCTGAGTGGGGGGGGGGGGAGAAATCGGGGCGGTTTGAGGGTATCCAGTATCCAATTTGTATGATCCGGTTTGCCAGAATCTGGATGCTTGAGTTGGGTGACAAACGGACAAATTCCCCCCCACCAAGTTGGTTCAGTTGAGCTCTCAGTTTTGAGGGCACCTGGCTCGGAATAACTGATCTCCAACACTCGTAGAGCAAAAGCTATGAGGTAGAGCAATACCCCATGCCTCTTTTCGCGGGATCCTGCTCACGACTCCAAATCACGCCCTGCGTGACCCTTTGGGGCCCATGGAATGGCCCCTTCGGCCTCTGAATGCACTCCACTTAGGTTCCGCCCACCTCCAGACTGGCTCAGGAGGACCCCCTCTCTAGGCCTGCCCTGACATCTCAGAGACCTTCCATCTCATGTACAAAGTCCCTCAAACTCGAATTTCACCAAAATGCATTGTGGAGTGTGGCACCCACATATAGCTTTTTAGGTTACAGGGTCTTTTGCCGAATCAAAAAGCTATGGCTTCAAAATCCTGCCATTTCCGTACAAGATCGGCAACTCGAAGCCCTGGACACTCAGTGGTACGAGTAGTTTGGAATGAGTCAAACTTGAAACCAAACTGAACCAACAGGTTGACAGACCTGTTGACAGGTCAAGCAGGGTTTGTTCGCACAAAAAGGGCCCCAGGGGAAACAACGCAAATGGACCATGTTCCCTCCTGGGATTCCATAGCTGCCTAAGTTCTTGCATTTGTTTGTGCAAAGCAGTGGCCATGGGGAAAAAACATCTTCTCACTTGAAATTGACACTGAAGTGACATCCCTTCCAAAAAGGGACACAGAGTAAGTGCCCTACTGAAGGTCCTTTTGGACAAAAGGACCTAAGCCGCAACTGAAGCTTGCCGAGGCCTTGGATGCTGCTCCGAGAAAGAAGGGCCCTGCGATTTTTGCGCGTGCTTTATGGTGGACATCGTTTCGCGAGTTCTGTCCCCAACCGCTGTTGCAGCCGGGCACACGGGCATTGCGCCAGACACCACCGCACGGGGCAGAACCTTCTCGTCCGAAGGCGCCATCTTGCGCCCGAACTTGTCCGCGGGGCAGCCGCTCGGCTGCGCCGTCAAGGAAATAGCGCGCTCCTTCCAATCGGCTGGGGATCCAGGAAAAGGGTGTCTGTATGGTGGACACAAATCGGGACAATTTTGCAACCAGTTTCATGCAGGTTTTGTTTTGGAGTTTGAGTTTGCAAAATAGCCCCTCGGTGTACCTGGCACGGGGGATTCCGTCAAAAAATGGCACACCCCTGAAAAGACAGGAAACCAGTTTGCGACTTCGTTGCAAGCCCCGCAAAAGGACCAAAAGGCACCTTGGAAAAAGGGAAGTGCCCGTTGATGACTTGGGTTACGTGTGTTGAGACAGGCTTCACATTACGTTGCACCCTCTTTGAAACAATCATGGAAGTGGACAGGGTGCTTCCCCAAAAGGAAGGTACCCCTGTCAGCTGCATGATTGTAGGGACACGGATATCATGTTGACAAGGTGAGGGACATAATTCGAACATCACATCTCCACTGCGGATGTGAAGACGGCATATTGGAGAGATGTGCACGGAGTAAATGGACCATTTGAAGAGCCGAGCCATAATCAAGACCAAACTACTGGTGGTAGGGGGATACACCCAGCCATAAATTAATAGGTGTGGCCTTCTATCCCTTTGATCCTTTAGCATTGGAGTAGACTCCAGGTTGTGATTCCATGGCACATCACGCACCCATGCGTTCCGGGGGCCCACAGTTCAAAACTTGATTGCTGTTGACCCCCCAGCAAAACGTTTAACTTTTTGTGGGTTTAGTGGAAAACACCTCTATTTCCCAAAAAGTTAAAGTCTAAAGATCCAACCCAATAGCAGTCAAGAAAACAACACACCCCCATCTTCCTATCACCGGATTGAGATCGCTCCTCCAACTCGCACCTCATGGCTTCCACGTCGCCCTTCACGCCGTTGATGGCCAAAATCTCCGAGCCCTCACGGCTTCGACCATCGTTTAAATAACCTCCTTTTGGCTTGCCTGGGATCGCATTGCAATACGGAACCCCAGAAAATCTTGGTCCTTCCTTTGATTTTCCGAACCTTTTTCCACCAACCCTACCGCTTCCTAAGTTTAAAGGGCAAACCAATCGGAATCCAGCCTTGTTCTTCATTTGAGTGTGTCTTTTTTGAAGGTCGCCTTTTGAAAAGGGGTTGGTTTAGAGGAAAAACCACCTGCAGAGTTCCCCCATTTTTGGAGAGCCCCACGCCCCCTCATCCCCCCCCCCGCCCGCCCCGCCTCCGTGACACGGGAACTTCCAGCCTCGAGCTCTCGCGCCTCGAGCTCTCGCGCGTTGTGCCGGCCGAGCAGGCCCTTCTCGCTGATGGACACCACCTGAAGCCGCTCCCTCACCACCTGCGACGCTCTGACGGTCTGACGGTCTGATGGTCTGAATTTTGAATGGGCCGCGGAGCCCAAAAACTGTGATTGTCTGTTGGTGTCCCTTTGAATGCCAACGCTACCCCTCTGAGGATGCTTTTGTTTTGGGGGGGTACAACAGTTAAAAGGGGCTTAAAGTACCTCTCACAAAGTACTTTCTTGGGCTGTTGGGGGTAGGGAACGTTGGGGGCTGAAAATCGCAGATCGTGTATCAAATTGGCCTTCTCAAAGCATGAAGCGTGGAAACTGGAGAAGCAGACATAATGAACCGCAAGACATAGTTTCCCTCGGCTTCCCTTCAGTTTTCCTTTCAAACAATCCCAGATGGGGTTGCCCTAAGGCGCACCCATGCGAGCCAAGGTCAAAATCTGTGGTTTCCAGAAAGGGCATGGACCAAATTAGGCAGTTCGCCTGCCGGGTTTCGTTGTGCAAATTCCCGTGGCAAAAGCGCGCCATGTCCTTCCCAAATATCGATTCATGGATAAACTACTGAACAGTTGGACCGAACCTCATGTCGGAAACAGAAAACTACTCGCACAGCCCAGCCACAGGTTTTGTTTGCACATACTGGGCAAGGCTTGGACTCAAACGGCCTACATTGAAAAGGGTGGCCATGTTTGGAGATTCCTATCCTTCTATTTGCTTAAGTCCCTGCAACAAAAAAACAAAACATTTGATAAACCAGAGATTATAAAACATATTTTTTTCAGCAAAGGAAGCAACTGGATTCCCAACAGCACGCCTCCAAGCTGAAGCCCCAGATCTCATCCACAGAGGATTTCTCGAGGCGCCTCAGAAATCCGAAATGGCTCCGGGGACGCGCTGTGGGAAAAAGCCTCAACTTTCGCATGGTTCTGGCCAATTGACTACCGCTACCGCCTACTCCACATATCCCTCCCCTCTCTCCGGCTGTTGCTAGTGGGAATGATTTTGAAAACCTTACATGTACTGTTTGCCATGGTAAATAAATACCTCATTTTTTAGAAGAGGGTTGACATGATAACCTGAAACAGCGTGTTTGGGAGTGGGTAAATATATCATTCCCATCCGAGAAATGGGCCGCACATTTTACCTTCATGGAGCCCACTGGGCACCCGAGAGGACAGGAACCCCACGTGCTCGGAATCATACTGTGGATGGTTGCGAAATCCATTTCGCACCTTGGGGTTTCCACGGTTGAAACCATAACGTTCATTGCTATTTACAGGGGAATCATCATTCCAGAGTTCCTTAGGTGGTGCAGGATTTCGTCCATCCATAGTATGCGGCACCCCCTGATCCCCGAGGCCCATCGATGAACGCGCGACTCTCTGACTCGCCGACTCGGGCGCAGCTCGGGCGCAGCTCGGGCGCCGGCACTTCTGCGACGCGGCCAGGTTCGCAAGGCTCGGGCGGCTCCTTCTCGGGGCTCTCTGGCCCTTCCTGGCGTACCACGCGGCGTTTGCGACATCGGAGAATGGGGGTCTTTAGAAATCTGGGAAACTCCCCTTGCGTGACTTTCAGGACATGCAAATGTCCATGCGGTTCACCGAATCAAAGGCCCCGTACACGATCCTCTTCGACGTTCTCCTTAGGGTTGAAAAAAGAATTCGCTCGAGCAAAGAAACCCGTACAGTATGGACTCGGAAGAGCAATGTGCAGAATCCCCTGCCAGGACTCCAGCACCACCATATCGTGTTGCCCTCAAATCTGCCCCTGCCTTCCTCAGTCCCTTGCTGGTCATGCGAGGGCAAATTCGGTCTCAACACTTTCCGTGCTTCTGTCTTTGGCATGTCGCAGTGCCCAAGAGTGGTGAAAAGAATAGAGAAAAGGTTGCGGCTCAAGCAGCAAAGACATTTCAAACGCATGCCGCAGCCACGGCAGAGCTACTTTAGTGCTCATCCTCCGTAGGCGAGCGGCTTAGCTCCAGTCTTGGGGTTCAGCAGGTTGAAGCACACGAACATTGGAGAGCCCTCAGCAGGAGGCATGGCGCATTGCTCCCAGAAGCAAAGGCGAGTGCTGACGGCTGAGCACAACTTGCCTCCCTCCATGGGAGTCGCCAGCTTGGTGCCGCCCTTGATGCACAACTCTTTGAACTGCGCAGCAAACAAGGGTCGGCCGTTGGCCGAAGGTGCGGTCACACCACACCCCAGACAGAAGATGTAGTAGACCCAGAAGGTGTCTCCAAAGCCGGTGGACCAATCAAAGAGCTCCTGTCCGCTCCATCCATCACCGCCCGCCAGCTTCTTGTTGAAGCACACACAAATCGGTGAGCCTTGAGCCGGGGGCAAGGAGCACTGGTCCGTGATGCACAGGCACACCCGCATCGAAGAGCAGAAGGGATCTCCGACATCCGTCATCTCGCACCGGGAGTGAAGACAAATGTTTACTGCCTCACCTCCGCAGAACGGATTTCCCACGGCTCCGATACCCACACCTTCACAGAAGCAGTAGTTCAACCACCAAAGGTCGTTGAACATCTTGTCGCGGTCCAGGAAGGGTGAGATGTCGGACTTGGCGATATCCGGCATGGCGCTGGATCAAATTGGGCTAGTCCCTTCAAAACTTTGTTGCAATGCTAGAGCCGTCTGCGCCAATCAATCGCGCTTGAGCAAGCCTTGGAAGTCGTGCAATTCTGAGCGAAACCAGACACAAGCAAGCATTCACTTTTTGCAATCTCAGTTCGTATCTAGACTTGGCCGCGGCTCCTTTGAGCAACTTGGCCAGGGCGATGGTCGGCAAGGTAGTGGTTTTGTCCGTTTACCGCATCTCGACAGAGGCTCACCCAAAAAAAACACATACGCATGACATGGCATCACATGGCCATCTTGCTGGTTTCTATCAGGTTCATACTGGATTCCCCTGTGCATTGATGCTGGATCTTGCTGAGTTCCAGGTGCTACTAAAAGCGCGGCCGGACTTCTAAAGGAATCAGCTCTCACCGTAGCCACAACACGCACAACAGCACCACTTTGGCGCTCATCCTCCGTAGGCGAGCGGCTTAGCTCCAGTCTTGGGGTTCAGCAGGTTGAAGCACACGAACATTGGAGAGCCCTCAGCAGGAGGCATGGCGCATTGCTCCCAGAAGCAAAGGCGAGTGCTGACGGCTGAGCACAACTTGCCTCCCTCCATGGGAGTCGCCAGCTTGGTGCCGCCCTTGATGCACAACTCTTTGAACTGCGCAGCAAACAAGGGTCGGCCGTTGGCCGAAGGTGCGGTCACACCACACCCCAGACAGAAGATGTAGTAGACCCAGAAGGTGTCTCCAAAGCCGGTGGACCAATCAAAGAGCTCCTGTCCGCTCCATCCATCACCGCCCGCCAGCTTCTTGTTGAAGCACACACAAATCGGTGAGCCTTGAGCCGGGGGCAAGGAGCACTGGTCCGTGATGCACAGGCACACCCGCATCGAAGAGCAGAAGGGATCTCCGACATCCGTCATCTCGCACCGGGAGTGAAGACAAATGTTTACTGCCTCACCTCCGCAGAACGGATTTCCCACGGCTCCGATACCCACACCTTCACAGAAGCAGTAGTTCAACCACCAAAGGTCGTTGAACATCTTGTCGCGGTCCAGGAAGGGTGAGATGTCGGACTTGGCGATATCCGGCATGGCGCTGGATCAAATTGGGCTAGTCCCTTCAAAACTTTGTTGCAATGCTAGAGCCGTCTGCGCCAATCAATCGCGCTTGAGCAAGCCTTGGAAGTCGTGCAATTCTGAGCGAAACCAGACACAAGCAAACTCTCACTTTTTGCAATCTCAGTTCGTATCTAGACTTGGCCGCGGCTCCTTTGAGCAACTTGGCCAGGGCGATGGTCAACAAGGTAGTGGTTTTGTCCGTTTACGGCACCTCGACAAAAAGAAACAAAAACATACGCATGGCATGGCATCGCAGGGCGATCTCGCTGGTTTCTATCAGGCTCATACTGGATACCCCTGTGCATTGATGCTGGATCTTGCTGAGTTCCAGGTGCTACTAAAAGCGCGGCCGGACTTCTAAAGGAATCAGCTCTCACCGTAGCCACAACACGCACAACAGCACCACTTTGGCGCTCATCCTCCGTAGGCGAGCGGCTTAGCTCCAGTCTTGGGGTTCAGCAGGTTGAAGCACACGAACATTGGAGAGCCCTCAGCAGGAGGCATGGCGCATTGCTCCCAGAAGCAAAGGCGAGTGCTGACGGCTGAGCACAACTTGCCTCCCTCCATGGGAGTCGCCAGCTTGGTGCCGCCCTTGATGCACAACTCTTTGAACTGCGCAGCAAACAAGGGTCGGCCGTTGGCCGAAGGTGCGGTCACACCACACCCCAGACAGAAGATGTAGTAGACCCAGAAGGTGTCTCCAAAGCCGGTGGACCAATCAAAGAGCTCCTGTCCGCTCCATCCATCACCGCCCGCCAGCTTCTTGTTGAAGCACACACAAATCGGTGAGCCTTGAGCCGGGGGCAAGGAGCACTGGTCCGTGATGCACAGGCACACCCGCATCGAAGAGCAGAAGGGATCTCCGACATCCGTCATCTCGCACCGGGAGTGAAGACAAATGTTTACTGCCTCACCTCCGCAGAACGGATTTCCCACGGCTCCGATACCCACACCTTCACAGAAGCAGTAGTTCAACCACCAAAGGTCGTTGAACATCTTGTCGCGGTCCAGGAAGGGTGAGATGTCGGACTTGGCGATATCCGGCATGGCGCTGGATCAAATTGGGCTAGTCCCTTCAAAACTTTGTTGCAATGCTAGAGCCGTCTGCGCCAATCAATCGCGCTTGAGCAAGCCTTGGAAGTCGTGCAATTCTGAGCGAAACCAGACACAAGCAAACTCTCACTTTTTGCAATCTCAGTTCGTATCTAGACTTGGCCGCGGCTCCTTTGAGCAACTTGGCCAGGGCGATGGTCAACAAGGTAGTGGTTTTGTCCGTTTACGGCACCTCGACAAAAAGAAACAAAAACATACGCATGGCATGGCATCGCAGGGCGATCTCGCTGGTTTCTATCAGGCTCATACTGGATACCCCTGTGCATTGATGCTGGATCTTGCTGAGTTCCAGGTGCTACTAAAAGCGCGGCCGGACTTCTAAAGGAATCAGCTCTCACCGTAGCCACAACACGCACAACAGCACCACTTTGGCGCTCATCCTCCGTAGGCGAGCGGCTTAGCTCCAGTCTTGGGGTTCAGCAGGTTGAAGCACACGAACATTGGAGAGCCCTCAGCAGGAGGCATGGCGCATTGCTCCCAGAAGCAAAGGCGAGTGCTGACGGCTGAGCACAACTTGCCTCCCTCCATGGGAGTCGCCAGCTTGGTGCCGCCCTTGATGCACAACTCTTTGAACTGCGCAGCAAACAAGGGTCGGCCGTTGGCCGAAGGTGCGGTCACACCACACCCCAGACAGAAGATGTAGTAGACCCAGAAGGTGTCTCCAAAGCCGGTGGACCAATCAAAGAGCTCCTGTCCGCTCCATCCATCACCGCCCGCCAGCTTCTTGTTGAAGCACACACAAATCGGTGAGCCTTGAGCCGGGGGCAAGGAGCACTGGTCCGTGATGCACAGGCACACCCGCATCGAAGAGCAGAAGGGATCTCCGACATCCGTCATCTCGCACCGGGAGTGAAGACAAATGTTTACTGCCTCACCTCCGCAGAACGGATTTCCCACGGCTCCGATACCCACACCTTCACAGAAGCAGTAGTTCAACCACCAAAGGTCGTTGAACATCTTGTCGCGGTCCAGGAAGGGTGAGATGTCGGACTTGGCGATATCCGGCATGGCGCTGGATCAAATTGGGCTAGTCCCTTCAAAACTTTGTTGCAATGCTAGAGCCGTCTGCGCCAATCAATCGCGCTTGAGCAAGCCTTGGAAGTCGTGCAATTCTGAGCATCTGCGCATTTGGATCTTTGATTTTGAATTGCGGGGGCTTGCAAATCATTGAACTTGAGCCCACGCAAAGGCCTCATTTAAAGAGGTATCTCATAGGGTCCAAACACAGCGAGAGCAAGACCCGGCCTCCCGTGAGCTGCTCTTAGCCTCGGATGCTGGGCTCTTGGTGGGGATACGAGGCTAAAGTAGCTCGGGTATCGGGAAAGGAGCCGCTCGGGGAAGCAAAGGAAAGGAAACCAAATGAACCCCCCATCCACGCGGCACGATCCGCTCAAGCTGGGCTTGAAAACCATGAGAGGAGAGGCAAACCCCTCTTTCCAAGAATCATGAAGCTGTCAGGAGGGTTTATGAAGACCTTCCAAAAGGGGGTAGTCGGTTCACGCGAAACACTGTCGCGGTCTTAGAACTCTTGCTCTGGCACGGCTCTTGGCTGAAGACAAACGGTACCTACCAGGTACCAGAAAAATCTCCCCGACGGCAGCTTGCATTTTCTTGGAACCTGTGTTCGCAATTGCCAACTCCGACCATTGGAAGTCACCAGAGTCCTCGTCAAACCACACCCCGGCCGAACCCCCAAACTCTCCTTCTGCCAAACCCCTTTTCAGCGGGAACAAATAAGAAGGAGCCACCTGGCTAAAAACAAAACCTTGCACATTGCCCGTGAATCAAGAGAGGATCGCTGCGTGAGTTTGCTGGCAAACTGAGCATGTGGTCATGTCAAAGCTTGTCGAACCCAGGGACCCAGTTTCATGTTGCTGTCCGCTTAACACAAGCAACAACAGCCTGTGACAAAGAAGACCTTGCAAACGGAACTAGACTTGCCCACTGGCAGGCTTAGCAACATGCAGCGCAAGACATGTCGGCGGCCGATCAACAGGGTGCCAATTACCAGAGAGTTTCCTCGGATCCCAAACCTGCATTCACAGCTTTCCTCACTGGATGTTTGAAAACTGAAGGAACGTAAATGAAGCTCTGCTCTCACGAGCCATTTGCAGCTGTTACAAAATCAATTCCAGGCCGTTACATAATGAGCGGGTCTCGCCTAGTTATGGTTGAGACCAGCCCCACTAGGCTAGAAATTACCCCAGTTTTGATTGTGGCTGATATGGGTAGGTGGTTTAATCCCGTTTATCGGGCGTCATTTGAAGCTTGTAAGAGTGCACAGTCTACGTCCCTTGAAAACATCACCCTGCCAAGGGGCACTCACCGTAAATGGGCGCAAAGGTGGTGGTTTAACGCCCCCTCAAAAAGTCCTCAGTAAGTCCTATTTAATGGAGCGTCAACCCCCCTGCCATGTGATTTCTGGAGTTTGCCCATCCACAGTAGGGATCGTGGCTGCCAAAAAGCAAATTATTCATTCGATCGAAAGGGCACCACCAGGGCCTAAGCAAACTGTCCACCCGTAGTTTGGGTGGCTCGACCCGTTTTGACGAAACATTTTTTTCTGGTGGTTTTGAAATGTTTTGAAGGAAGACCAAAAGGACACTCACAATGTTTGCTTTTCTTTTGGAGAGGGGTCCAACCAAAAGAGAAATCAAAAAGAAAACCAAAAGAGAAATAATGTTTTTCTTTTAGCCAGGACATCCACACTACCAACCTAGTATGGATGGCGAAAAGAAAACCAAAAGGAGAGAACTCATCTGGAGGTTCCCTAGGTCCGCGGCTAGTTCCATCCAGGGGCAGCGCAGGCAAACCTGGCCGAGTCCAAACAAAGGGACCGGACTCGATCACGAGGAAACGGAAACAACTACATATGTCAGTCCTTCATGTATGTTGGTCTGTCTATCTGTCAGTCAGTCAGCTTTTGTGTATGTATGTCAGTACTCTAGGGATGAATGGATAGATATGTATGGATGCATGTATGCATGTATTCATGTGTGCTTGTGTCGATGTGTGTACGTGTGTATGTGTCTACGTGTGTACCAGTCGGCGTGTCTACGTGTAACGTGTATCTGTACTGTATGTAGTGTATGTAATGTGAGGTATGTAAGGTATGTACTGTACGTGCTGCATGTACTGTATGTACTCTATGTACTGTATGTACTTTGTGTACTGCATGTAGTGGATGTAAAGCATGTAATGTATGAAATGTATGCAAGGCATAATGTATGTAATATATGTAGATTGTGTAACACATGTAATGGATGCAATGGATGTAATGTGTGTAATGTGTGTAACTTGCGGTATGTGTGCAATGTATGTAATGTAAGTTGTGTAATGTGTGTGTGTAATGTGCATAACTTGCATTATGTGCGAAATGTATGTAATGTCATGTAAAGCATTGTAATGCAATGTAATGCAATGCAATGAAATGTAAAGCAATGTAATGCAACGCAATGCAATGTAATGCAGTGTAATGTAATGTATGTGTGCAATGTGATGCAATGACATATAACGTAATGCAATGTAATATCATGTGCGCATGCAATGTAATGCAATTCAAATGTACTGGAGCGTGATGCAGTGAAATGCAATGCAATGCAGTGTAATGTAATGTAATGCAATGTAGCGCAAGTGTATGGGATGTGTGTAATGTGGGTCATGGGTGCAACGTGTAATGTATGTAACATATGCAATGCTTTGTAATGTTAGGTATGGATGTATGTGATGTGCTGCACTGCGACGAAATGTGCTGTATTGTAACGGAATGTGATGCAATGTAATGTAATGTAATGTACGCATTGAATGTATGTATGTATGTATGTATGTAAGTAAGTATGTATGTATGTATGTATGTGTGTCTCTATGTATGTATGTATGTATGTATGAATGAATGAATGAATGAATGAATGAATGAATGAATGAATGAATGAATGTATGTATGTCTGTATGTATGTATGTATGTATGTATATATGTAGGTAGATAGGTAGGTAGGTAGGTAGGTAGGTGGGTGGGTAGGTGGGTAGGTAGTTAGGTAGGTAGGTAGGCGTGTGTGTGTGTATGTATGTATGTACATACGTACGTACGTTTGTGTGCATGCATGCATGGATGTATGTATGTATGTAAGTATGTATGTATGTATGTATATGTATGTTTGTATTATGCATGCATGTTCGTGTGTGTGTGTATGTGTGTGTGTGTATGTGTGTATGTGTGTGTGTATGTGTGTATGCGTGTGTGTATGTGTGTATGTGTGTGTATGTGTGTATGTGTGTATGTGAGTATGTGTGTATGTGTGTATGTATTTATGTGTGTATGCATGTACGTATGTATGTATGTATGTATGTATGTATGTATGTATGTAAGTAAGTATGTATGTATGTATGTATGTATGGATGTATGTATGAATGTATGTGTGTGATGCATGTAACGTCTGTGATGTCTGTAATGTAAGTTCCGTCTGTACTGCCTGCAATGTCTGTACTGCCTGTAATGTCCGTGTATGTGGTGTATGCCATGTCTACGTATGTAGTGTATGTAATGTCTGGAATATACGTAGTGTATGTACTGTCTGTAATGTATGTATGTGTGTAATGTGTGTGTGTGTGTATGCTCCGTCAGTGTGTTGAAAAAAACAATTATGAAGCAAGAAATTGGACCCTCAAATGGTCCAGACATACATTATTTGAGACTCTCAAACTCTCCAAAAATCAAGAAACACTCCCCACTGAAACTGACCAGCTCAGGCCTGAGAATTAGGTGTTCACGCTTTTGGGGCAGCGTGATTCCAATTTCCAAACTCTAAGCCAGCGGTGTGGTAAGTCGTCAAAAATGTGTTCGAGGAAAAACAATATCTGGGTCACCAAACATTGATTTACCTCGTGCTGCGCCTTTAGATGTAGCTTGTCTAGCGGCCTGGATACATTTGAGAACTTTGAAAAAGTAGTCCTGCGAAGGTTTGTCTCATAGCACCAGTCTTTAGCTCAGTTGGGGGTGTCATCCATGTGGGGGAAGTGCGCGTTTCGACTGGAGCTATACCCGAGGCCTTTCTTTGGGCGTACTTGATGCTTTAGCTGCAATTCGAGTCAAGGCCGCTTTGGGCTGTGCGCGGCTTTCCTTGTGGCCGCTCTCGCGAGGGACGGGGGAACGTTAAAAGGGGCACCGATGCGTCTGCATCGCGGCGTGCAACATGCGGCATTTGGCTGCAGGTGTTGGCCCGCAAGGGCCGGCTTCATCACCTTCCACAGAGACCAGGAGGATTCCCCCAAGCGCGGTCATTTTGTCCCTCCACCATCCACCGGAGGTCAACAAGCAGCCCCTGCGCAAGCCTCGACTCGCCCCAAACCCGGCCAAGTCGCGCCTGGTCCAGTGGCATAAGACTCGGCCTTTCCAGCTCGCCTGAGCAACGGACAGGCCCCTGCCTCCGCAAAGCTTTGAATTCCCTCCCCCCAGAGGTCACAAAGCCAGCCATTTGATGGCTATTGGGGCTTTTTGGTGTCTCCAAATCGGGAACCTCCTTTAAAAATGTGTGGGTTTCCTGCACATTTTTCAAACAAGCAAGGTCGTCAGGTTGGGGGAATTTGTTAGAAGAGGGTGGCCCAGAACTGGTATCAACTTCACAAGCCCAGGTGGTATCCCCAACTGCAAACTCTTCCGAAACCGATTCCACCCAGATCCGTCAACCACTCCAGAGCCTATCTGAAAGATCCCAAAGCTTTCAGCTGCTTGCGCTTGCGGTTCAAGCAATTACCAGCCCCCCCAATGGCTGTCAAATGGCGCCCCAAAAGCGCCCAAAGGCGACTTAGCAAGCGATTCGGCAGGGCTGCCCGAAAATCCCACAGATCCACTTACTTGCTCGGGAAAGTTCCACCGTTTCCAAATCCCAGGATTCCATTTTGGGGGTTCTAATCTTGAGCCACACCCAAGCCATCCGCCTTGTGCCATTTCGCGCTTGCACCGTAGCAGCACACCCCGCGGAATCCGTGGGGCGGCAGCCTTCGAATCCAAG